AGATTGGGGATTTATTTTTATGAACCTGGAGTTGTGATACCTATTAATGATTTGCAGGTTTTCAGTAGCCCGTAGTCCAAACTCCCACCACTCAGAAGTGTGGTTTCCTGGCCTGCTGTGTCAACCTCACCTGGGAGCATTCTTTTTTTCCTTTTAGGATTTTATTTAAATTCAAGCTAGTTAACATATACTACACTATTGTATTAGTTTCAGGGGTAGAATTTAGTGATTCATCCGTTGCATATAACACCCAGTGCTCATTACATCACATGCCCTCCTTAATGCCCAACATCCAGTTACCCCATCCCCCCACCCACCTCCCTCCTGCAACCCTCAGTTTGTTTCCTAGAGTTAAGAGTCTCTTACGGTTTGTCTCCCTCTCTGTTTTCATCTTATTTTTCCTTCCCTTCCTTTATGTTCATCTGTTTTGTTTCTTAAATTGCACATAGGAGTGAAATCATATGGCATTTTCTTTCTCTGATTGACTTATTTCGCTTAGCATAATACCTTCTGGTTCCATCCATGTCATTGCAAATGGCAAGACTTCACTCTCTTTGATGGCTGCGTAATATTCCATTGTGTGTGTGTGTGTGTGTGTGTGTGTGTGTGTGTGTGTGTGTGTGTGTGTGTGTATACCGCATCTTCTTTACCCGTTCATCTGTCGATGGACATCTGGGCTCTTTCCACACTTTGGCTCTTGTGGACATTGCTGCTGTAAACATCGGGGTGCACGTGCCCCTCTGAATCGCTATGTTTGTATCTTTTGGGTAAATGCCTAGTAGTGCAATTGCTGGGTCGTAGGGTAGCTCTATTTTTCACTTTTTGAGGCACCTCCGTACTGTTTTCACCTGGGATCTTTCTTGGCCTACAGGCTGGGAGTCTGCATTTTCACAAGATCCCAGGGAATCCTGCTCCTTACCATCTACTTGCTTCCTTTGCAGCTTGTTCTAACTGTAGTTAAGACTTATTTGCATAATCCTTTGTTTGCCATCCACCTTCCTCACTGAACAGGAAGTTCCTGACTGCTTCAGCTCATTGTTATAAACCACGTCCTATCACATGCCTGGTGCAAGTAGGCAATGAAGAAGCGAATGAGTGAGTGAATGAATGAATGAGCTCATTCCAGAGGCTTTGGCCATCGGTTTAGCTAATCCTCCCTTTATCCATGGGAAGCTGGGGAGGAAAAGGAGACTTAGAGTTTTAAATTCAGAAGTAAATGGAGGAGGCTGTCTGTCCCTCCCACCTTGAGAGCTAGCTGTCCCATTTTATGTGTCAGCCACATCCCCCAAAACACATGGTGAGGCTTGGAGATTGGCTACCTTGGGTCAGGTCCCTAGGGCTGCTTTGGCCTCTGGCAACGTGGATATAAGTGATGCCTCCATTGACCTCAGCCTCATCTGTCATGGCAAGTTCAGTGGCACTAACAAGATTGAGAGCAAGAAGCTGTGGTCCACGCTAGTCTATCAGGCTCCAGAGCCCACCAGTAGGAGTGTGGGCTGCTGCAGCTTCTGAATATACTGTCTCCAGCACCCTGAAGATGCTGGGGGCTCACTTTGACGAGTGGAGTGCAAGGGTCACCTGCCCCTTGTGCCAATGGCCCCGTGTTGGTGTTGGGGTGACCCTGAGAAGTATGACCTCCTCTAGATGGCCAGCATGCCTGCACTCCCGCTAACTCCCACTGCTGGACTCTGTAACGCTTTGGCATCGTGCAGGGACTCATGACCACGGTCCCCCCACCGTCTGCCCCCCCTGGCAAACCGTGGTACCGTGGTCATGCAGCTGGCCAGGGCTGTGGGCGGGATTGTTCCTCAGCTGCACGGAGAGCTTGGTGGCCTGGCCTCCCGTGTCTCCAGCCTCAGTGGGTCTGTCTGGCTCTGACCGCCATCTAGAGAAAGCTGTCAAATACAGTGGCATTCAGAAAGTGGCGAAGTGGGGCCTCTGGGGGATCACCAAAAGACATCCTGGGCTACACTGAGGACCAGGATGTCACCTATGACTTGAACAGCGATGTCACACTGGGGCTGGCATTGCCCACAGGACCGCTGTGTCAGGCCCACTTCCTAGTATGCAGATGGTGACAACGTCAGGCAGGCCTCCTGGTCTTCATGATCACAGCCTTGGACCACAGCAGGAGCACCAGATGGAGAGAGAAGCTCTCTGCTCCTGGCAAGGCCCTGCCCTACCTCTGCGCCCAAAGCACTGAGCATCACCGTCCTTGACACAGTCCCCCCCAGGCCCTCTGAAGAAGGGAAGGAGCTTGAAAGCCCCACCTTGTCACATGCCATCAGGATTCCCAGTGAGGTGTACACCATCCCCACCTGGAATAAAAGGCAGAAGGGAGGGCGACAGGTAGGGAAGAAGGAAGGGGAATCGTTCCATATGTAATGTACTCATTTTCCAGGCTTCCCTGCCCCCAGGTCTCCTGGGATGAAAAGTTCAATACCCTACCAGTCCGAAAAGATAAAAGCCTGTGTTTTTCAGAAGTCCCACAGTCTGCAGAAGGCAAATCTTTTACTGAATACCCGTCTCTCACTTGCGCAGTCGTCTTGGAGGTTGCTGGGGCGGGAAGGGGAGAGGATTGTAGGCTTGCAAGCAGGAGAGGGAAACCTACCCACGTGGGGAAGGCAGGTTGCTCAGCAATTCAGAGCAGAGGAAGCAGAAGTGAGGCAAACATGCAAATCACAGCGCGGAGATTGGGGCAGAAAGACGCTTCAAATTTACAGAATGCCAAGTTCATCTGAGCCCATAGGAATGTTTCCATAAGATGTGATTTTTATGAATATTTACATATTTATTTAAGAAAACATATTCAAAATGTTTAATTCAGTAACTTATGTATTACTAAATGTACTGAGATCATGGGCTTTTACCCATAATGACATTGTGGCTGCTTCCGAAGGAGGCCGTTCATTTTCTAGTCCTGGGGGAGGATGAGGCTGGGGTGCTGGAGGTTCTGCCTGGGGCAGCAAGCCCCAGCTAGGGAAACTAGCATTGAGTGAGCACCTACTGTGTGCCAGGGGCTATCCCTGGCATTAGAGCACGACTGTTCTTGACACATAGTTAGAAATGTATTTTTACACTGCTATTCAGCTCACACACGCACACACACATGCCCGTGCACACCCCCCCACAGCACATTCTCACGTCTGTAACTGGAACAAAAGTCTCACCCAAACCCTTTTTACTCTGGGCAATACATGCTGCTATTGTCTATTCTATTTTATTGTCTAGCTCTAGCTGTTGCTCCCTGAATGGGCTTCAGGCCTCCCACCCTCGACCCAAGGGTTTGGGACCCCAACAGAATTTGACTCAGCCAGGGTGGCGGTTCGGGGAACGGACTTGGGACTCACATGGCCCTGGGGTTCACGTCCCAGTTCCAGTGCCCACAGGCTGTGTGACTTGAGCAGCGTCCTTAGCCTTGCCCAGTTTCTTCCTCGGTACCGTGGGGACAGTGACATTGCCTGCCTTGTAGCACTGTTGAGGGGACTGAGTGAGGTCATGCCTATGAGCGGTTAGCGCAGGGCCTGGCACGAAGTGAGCTCCTACGTGGACGCTAGTTGCTCTTTGTTACAGTGAGGGTCAGCATGGGCTGCAGCGCCCTGGATCCAGGCCACCTGAGTTCAGATCACGGATCCGCCCCTTCTGACCCATGGCCTTGGGTGAGTTAAAGTCTCTGTGCCTCCAGCTCTTCACCTGTAAGGTATGAATAGAACCCCCCTCATGGGGTGATTATGAGGATTAACAATTACTGATCAAGGTAACAGACTTAGAAGAGAGCGTGGCACATAACAGGCACTGGATAAATGATGGACGTTATCATCATCTCATTTAATCCACACGCATCCTAGTGGGATCAATTTTTCCCCATTTCACAGGAGGGAACTCTGAGGTCTAGAGACTCTAGGCAAGCTGCCCAAACTCTCACTGCTACTGAGTGACAGAGCTGGAATTGCAGGTTGCTGTTCTGAGCCTCCAACTTCAGGGATGAGAGAGGCTCGGAGCTCTGGAGACCTTGGAGCATTTCTCAGGAGGCAGACGTGCCCCCAGCCACGTACCCCAGGACATAGGCACTGCCCTGCACACGAGGGAGTGTGAATTGGCAGGTTGGTACAATCAGAAAACATGTTATCTAGTATTTTCCAGGGCTTCCCCGTGAGGAATTGAGTTGCAGTGTTCAAGATGACAGAGCACGGTCCCCAGTGGACTGTCCATTTGTAAAATTAGCCTCTTGAAAATCTCCCTCCCAGCTTAATTCCATCACCTGTTCGTCACCTCTTGCATTATTATCTCCCAGTGACAGTCACATGCTGTGGGCCCAGGGATACACTTGAATCAGCTCAGGCCTCTTCTGTCTTCCTGCTTCACACCCGAGCTGGAGCCTAGGAGATGAGCCAAGAGGTGCCTTCCCCTGAGTACTGGGGCCAGCCCCACCTGAACCCCCTGGACCGAAACTAGGGTGGGAGAGGAAGAACATCAAGATGTCATCAGAAGAAGGGAAATGAATGTCGGATAATCAAAATCAGCTGGTGTCTGCCATTCTTGGGTTCTTGGGGTTGCCTTTGAGGCAGGGAAGGGAGCAGTTCTCCATCCAGGAGTGGAAATGGCACCGGCCTGGGAGTCAGGAAACCTGGTTCAGGTCCCAGCTGTGCTGCTCTCTAATTATGTGACTTCACCTGAGCATGTTCTTTCTGTCCCTTTGGCCTCAGTGTCCGCATCCATGCAAGGGGTAAGGGGGAGCGTTCTACTCTGATGTTTCAAGATGCTATAGGCTCTTTACGCGTAGTCCTTCAATTAGTACCTGGAGACAGAAGTCACCCAGAAAGGGTTTTCAAGAAGGAAAGTGCTCAAATGTTGTGCCTCGGATGAGCTTTTGTGGTTGAGAAAGTCCCTGGCAGCAGTTCTCTGAGTTTCTTCCCACTCAGGTCAGCCTCTAAAGTCACAGCTTCTGTGGGTCAGCACTCCGACAGCTAAAGCCCTTCCAATTTTTCTTTTCCCTCCAGGCCTCACCACATCGGCCTCTCCGAGTGTGTCTCAGCTCTTCGCAAGGTGAGCACCCCGGCCCGGCTCCTTCTGCCTGGGTGTCCCTTTCTCCCCCTTGCCGGGCAGAGGCTCTGGGGTCAGAGTCCCAGAGGGGAGTCCCAGCACCAGCACTTCCCCGCTAAGCCACCTGGAGCACGCAACCCCACCTCGCGGGCCTCAGTCTCCCCATCTGGAAAGGGGGACCATCACGATGCCTGCCCCATGAAGTGAGCTAGAACATGTCAGAAGGGCTTTAGGATGGAGCCTGGAGCAGAGCGTTGCGTGTTGGCTGTTTTCTCCCTTCTTCTCTTTGTTCTTTTTGTTAGTCTTTCTTTCTCTTTCCCTCCCCTTCCGCTCCTTTCCTGGGCAGACCCTTTCTCAGTTCTTCCTGTCCCCCTTCATCCCTGCCTCCCTCCTGCTGCCCCTTCCTCCTTCCTTTCCCCTGCCTTCTTCACTCTGTCTCCCCCTCCCCTCCCTGCCCTGCTCTCTCTGCCTCCCTCTGGCCTTCATCCCTCTCCTTCCTCTTTCATCCTCTCTTCTGGGGCCAACACCCACCCAGCACTCCCTCAGGCCACGTTCCACATGGGACCGCGAGTCCCGGAGATGGGTGAGGCGGGGCCCCTGCCCATTGAGGGGAGGAGACAGGCCAGTAAAGCAGAGACCCCCTCACATGGGTGGGCAACATCAGTGTGCCGCCAGCGGTGTGCAAGGGGCAGAGGGAGCTCCCTGGTGGCCACGGCTCCCTGAGAGCTGTCGGGGAGCTGCCAGCCTGCAGCCCGCAGCGTGGGAGGCCCTGTGGTGGGCCCAGCCTGGTGGCCAAGGTGCCCTCGGTCTAGAGGGTCCGCTCCTCCAGATGTGGAGGTGCACTTCCCTTGACAACACCGGAGAAGCTGCTTAGAAGGAGCACACTTTCTCGGCCTTCCTTTCCCTGCAGATGTTTTGGGGGTCGTTAGTAGCAACAGAGGTCTGTCAAATGTATCTCAACTTTTCTTCAAGGCCTTGGGGTTCTGCTCCTCTTTCTCGAGGGAGAAAGGGCTTCTGATGGGAAACCGGAGTTGAGTGCCTTCTAGTTCCAAGGACAGGTGTAAATTGGGAGCAGGGTCAGATAAGGTTCTGTGCTCAGCACTAAGTGCCGACCCTCAGCATTCACCCTCGGGCACTGCACCGAGCAGGACACTGGTGGATGAAACCGTCCAGGACTGGGTCGGGCGTCTCCAAGTCAAATGAGTTTGTCACACGCTTTGGAACAAGTTCCCCAACCCTCTATCACGGTAGTAGTTGAAAGGAAAGAGGGACAGGAGAACATCTTTTTGTAAATTCTGTAAAGTTTTGTACCTACCTCACACCTGCCATGAGGCTTCTTATGGAGGAGGAGTTCCGGAAACGAACAGGTTTTAACTAAGGAGATGTAACCAGAATGGAACCCGACCTGGAGTTGGGGATCTCATTACCGTCTACTGGCAGGCTCTCTGGTTAGAGCAGCTAGATACGGGATGTTGGGTGCAGATGGCCCTAATGTCCAGGTGTGGGAGCTCACAGGAGAGACTGGCACCAGGGAGTGGTGAAGGGCACGGCCTCTGCATCAGCTGTGCGCGATTAGTAGGTTCCTTAGTCTCTCTCGGCCTCCGTTTTCTTATCTGTAAAATGGGAGTAGGAGTAGTAACTGCCTCCAGGGATTGTCATAATTGTTATGAGGTTTAAACGAGCCAATACGCCGAAAGGAATTAGGACAGTGCCTGGTACATAACAGGCACAAAAATTTTTAGCTGTTTTTATTACTAAAGGAGGAGGACCCTGTAGGGGCTCTTGCAGACGGAGTGCGATAGAGAAGTGGCCGCTGCTCAGATGGGTTGATAAAGTCATACAGGGGTACAGACCTAGGCTTGCTAAAGCTTCTGCTTTGTAGGGGTGTGTGTGTGAGAGAGAGAGAGAGAGGGAGGAAGAGAGAAGCCTCATGGTGTGAAAATAATAGTGATGAATCCAAATTTTAAAAAATCAATAACTGCACTAGCCAAAGAAATTATATCCGTGGATCCATGGACCACGTATGGCTCCTGGGCCACCATCTTGTCCCCTTCCTGCTAGAATAACCCACCTTGACTTGACTTATTGCTGCCTGTAGGGCTGAGTCAAGCTCAGTCCTCTAAGTGAGAAGCCGCACAGTTGCAAATGTGGACTCTGTAGTCAGAGGCCCGAGTTTAAATTCTAAATTCCCCCACTTTCTAGCTGTGACTCCGGGTCTCTGAGCTGTGGTTTCCTCTTTTCAAAAATGGGAGTTACAAGAACCCCTACCCCAGAGAGCTGATGTGAGCATCCAGTGAGATACACTGCATGCATCAGGTCTATGGGACAAAATCCGAGCCTGTGGTAAGAACACAGTGATTGGAAGCACTCGTTACAGATGTCTTAGGAGGTGGACCTTTAAATCCTAGGCCTTTATGGAACCTGCCATTCACCATGGAGAGCAGAATCCATTTGTGTCCCTGCGTTGCATGTAACAGAATATAGGCTCCAGCTGATGTCAACCCAAAAGGACTTTTCCTGGAAAATCTGGAGTAGCTTCCAGTGTAAGTGAAAGCAGAATAATCAGACCTTGAGAAAGACCAAGAAAAGGACAGCTTCTGGGATCCAAGCAATAGGAAGGAATGAAAAGACAGGGTCTTTGGAGTGTAGCTGCTGGAGGGAACTATTCAGCCCAAGATTTAAATTCCCAAGACAGAATCTGATTGGGTGCTCTTCCATCACAAGTCCCCCCCTTGGCTAAGAGCAGGACATCAATTGGGAAGGTGTCTAAGGGTAGATGAGATAGGACGGATCGGCTGCAGTCATCAGTGGCGTGGACCCAGTGACGTCACACGACAAAGGCTTATTTCTTACTCACTGAAAGTTCAGTGTGGATTGAGTGAAGCTCCCCAGGGCAGGTGTCCTCTACGTGCTGACGCAGGACCCAGAAGATAATCCACACTAGAGGTCTGCTACCTCAGTGTTGACAGTGGCCACCCAAAGAGGAGAGAGGACAGGAGGGTCGCAGGGGATGGTTTTATTGGCCAGAACTGGGAGAGGCTTATACATTCTGTGGGGCAGAATCTGGTCCCATGGTGGAATCTGACTGCAAGGCAGACAAGAAATAAAATCTTCCTGGTGCCCAGGAAGAGGAAAATGAAATGGGATTTGATGAACACGTAAGTTGCCTCTGCCCTGGAAAGAGCAGGTACCCAAAGGAGAATAAGGGGGAAGGGATGCTGCGCTGGGTTTGGATTAATCTTCTCTCTTTCCATGCAGACCTTGCCCACACGTCCTGCCCAGCCAGCCTGCCACGGCCATGGCAGCCTACGGCCAGACACAGTACAGTGCGGGGATCCAGCAAGCTGCCCCCTACACCACCTACCCACCTCCAGCGCAGGCCTATGGAATCCCTTCTTACAGTGAGTACCAGACCAAGCCCTGGCTTTTCCGCTGGGGTCCCCAACATCATGGTCTTTCTTCTGTCCGGTTGCCTCAGTTAAATGCAAAATGGCAAATGCAGCCAGCCTAATTTGGGGTTGGAAATAGAGGGAAAAGACAGACATATTTAAATATGGTTCTAGTTCAACGAACTATACCAAGACCTCTTTTGATTGCAAGACTAAGAAACTTAACCCAAGCTGGCTTAGGAAAAATGGAAATTTAATGATTCACATACTGAGAAATCTAGAGGTACAGTTAACATCAAGTATGGCTGGATCCAGGTGCTCAGGGGCTGTCAGGAGTACCACATCCTGCTCCAGGTTCGGATGTTTTCCTCTGAGCTGGCGCCAGTCCCACATAGGTTCTTCCCATGTGGCAGCAAAGATAGTGCCTGTCACTCTGGGTCTATATCCGTTCAGCTCAGCACACCCAGTGGAAGGAGAGTGCCTCTTTCCCAGCAGTCCCACCAGATTCCCCCGCAGCCCTCGTTGGCCCAGACTGGGTCATGTGACAATGTTTCAGTCTAGGCCAGGAGGTCAAAGTGTGAGAAATAAGGAGGCTGAAGCATGTGGATCGTATCTGAGGGAGAGAGATGGTTCTCTCAAAGGAAAATTAATGGATGCCAGGAAGACGAAAACAACAGACCTACAGGCCTTGACTGTGAGGACCTTCCTACGAAGAACCAGAGAATCAGGGAACCTGGCCCACCACCCGAGGCTCACCTGCCCCTGTCTGTACTGTTCAGGGTTCTCCAGAGAAGAAGAACCGATGGAATGAAGATATCTTATGTCTCTACATCTATATCTAAAGAGAGAGAGGTATCATAGGAATTGGTTCACCCAATTATAGAGGCTGAGAAGTTACAAGATCTGCAGTCGGGAAGCTGGAGACCCAGAAAAGCCAAAGGTGTCATTCCAGTTTGAGTCCAAAGGCCTGAGAACAAGAGGGCTGATGGTGTCACTTCTGGACTAAAAGCAGACAGGCCCAAGACTCAAGAAGGGCTGACTTTTCAGCTCCGGTCTGAAGGCGGGAAAAGACCCATGTCCCAGCTCAAGCACTCAGGCAGAAGGAGTCCCCTCTTACTCAGCCTTTTTGTTCTATTTGGGTCTTCAGTTGATGAGATGAGGCCCATCCACATTAGGGAGGGCAATCTGCTTTATTCAGTCTACAGATTCAAATGTTAATCTCCTTCAGAGATGCTCTCACACAGATACACCCAGAATAATGTTTGACCAAATGTCTGGGCACGTTGTAGCCCACGGAGGGTGACACGTAAAATTAACCATGACACTGCCTCTGGCTGTTACTCATGATAGTCCTGCCCATTTTAACTGATGTACCAATCAAAAACTCTTTTGGTAACAAATGACAAAAACCCAGTGTTAATTAGCTTAAGGAAATAAGGGTGTTTATTGCAAACACAGCTGAACATCTTAGGGTACTAGCTTCAGGCAGAGCTAAATCCAGGTACTCAAGTGATACCATGAGGCATCAGTCTCTCTGCTTTCCTTTGGAAGGTTAAGCTTCAGTCTCAGACAGGCCTTCCCACTAGGGTACCAAAGACAGCCCCAGCAGTTCCAAGTTGTAACTCCCCCCAAAAGAGAGCTTCTCTCATCCAGGACTTTCTGCACCATCCTGGGGATTCCTCCGACTGGACTTCCAAAGCCATCGCTGACCTGGACACTGGGGCAGAGAAGATAGAATGCTCTGGATAGGCCACATTGGGCCATATGGAACCAAGAGAGCAAACTCACCCAAGAAAAAGAACCGACCTGAATGTGAGGTAGGGGAAGAGGAGGGGACAGGTAGAAACCACAGATGTCTAGTGGACAGAAGGTAGGATTGGTTGGCAGGAGACCTAGCTTCCAGGCCCAGCTGCCTCTGATCTCCCCATGCCTCAGTTTCCTCAACTGTTACATTAATATCTCATGTCATCTTCCCAACCAGATGGTGTGGCTTGAGTGCAGGGACCCAATCTTGTATTTTTTCCCCTCCCTTTTCTCCCTCTCTACTTCTGCTCTGTTCACGTGTTCATTTATCCTTCATTCATTCCTTCATTCCTTCATGACATTGGGTCATGTGCTGGGCACACAGAGGCCAACAAAGCAGAATGGGCCCTCCCTGGAGCTTATAGTCTGGAACAGAAGCTGAAAAGTGAAAGCCAATGGGTAATGTGGGTAGCTCTCTTAACCTATAAAATACACTTGGCATTTTAAAAATTAATTGCCAATTTTAAAATGTGAAATGCTAACATAAAAATTTATATTTCTAACGTCTTTAAAAAGAGAGATGATCAGGCAACACTGAGCCCACAGTTTTTGTGTTGGGAATAGGTGGCCCTGAGTAGGGCTGACCCCATTAGCCTAAATTCGTCATGCTCCCCACCCAGCCCACATGACTCATTTGAATTAGCTGCCGGTCCCCTGAAGACATTTGAATTTGCACCCCCAGCCTAAAGGGAGAAAAAAAATTAAAGATGTAAAAATCTTTATGTGTTTCAAACTACGATGTGTGATACAGGGAAGAGAAGTAGGTCATGAGAAAGAACAGAAGAAGGAAGACTTCATCCAGGATCCAGCATCAGGGAGGTCTTTTAGATGAGGAGCTGATTCAGCTAAGAACTGAGACAGCATCCAGGCAGGGGGATCGCCCATGGGAAGGCCCCTGAGATGGGGAGGAATTTGGCGAGTCCAAGAAGCCCCGTAGCTGAAGCACAGTGGGGGCTGAGGTAGGAGAGATAGGCAGAGCCCTCAAGGCCTGAGAAGGGTTTGGGATTTTATTCCAAGTGAAACGGGAACTCATTGGCAGGTTTATAAGCAGAGGGCTATATTCTACAATCTGGGTTTTTTCAAGATCACTTTGGTCACCGTGGGGAGCCTGGATCGGAGGGAAGGAAGAGGGAAGCAGTCAGGCCAGTGGGAGACCAAGGAAGCAGGTGGACGGGGTGATGGTGGAGGCCTGGGGCAGGACAGTGCACAGACTGAGGGAGACAGCTGCAGGAGCAATTCTAGAGATTGGAGTGATGTGTCCTGGGAGAGCAACAGGCCAGGCATTGGTAATAGTCACCAGCATGGAGTTGCTGCCACCCTCAGTCCCTCAGTGCTCTGTGTCCTTACCAGGGAGGGTAAATAAATCGCCCAGGGTCGCCCAGCTGGTTGGTGGCATTAAACCCAGGCAGCCTGGCCCTGGAGTCCAAGCTCTTAACCACTGAGCTCCGCTGCCCAAGCCTGCATCCCGTAAATGCTGGGGGATTACCAGTGACAGACCTCCACCAACAGGTGTGGGCACCATTTCCAACTTTCTGTCCCTCCTGTGCTGGAAGACTCGTGATATAATCACCCTAAGTTAGCCCAGCTGGCTGACAGCCAGGGAAAATGAAGCCATATTATTTTTCGGTGTAAAAGAGAAAAGTAGCCTTGTTCCCAGACAAAGCATGGCAGGTGGTAAGAGCACATGTCCTGGGCTCACACGCCACCTCTGCCACTTGCTGGTCCTAACACACTGGGCAAGCCATCTCTGTTTCTTCATTCATACAGTGGGAGTGATACCAAGTCTGGCCTCCTCACTGTTATTGTGAAGATTAAATGAGACTATCTGTATCAGAGGTCAGCTGCCATTTTCTGTAAAGGTCCCGATGGTTATTTCTGGCCTTGTGGACCGTACAGCCTCGGTCACAGCTATTCAACTCTACCACCGTAGTGTGAAAGCAGCCAGACAATACGTAAACGAATGGGTGTGTCTGTGTTCCAATAAAACTTTATTGACACAAACAGGAAGTGAGTCAGGTTTGGTCCACCAACCATAATTTGTCAGCCCTTGACCTATATGAAGGGCTTAGCTCACAGGGCCGGCCCAAGGGAAATGCTCAATCAGTGCTGTAGGGGCCAGGCTGCCACACACACCTGGAATGTTCATGTCACTGAATAATGACAGGTAAGATGAAAAGCTGTTTTCCTTCACATATGCCTGTGCCCAAGCAAGCAGTGTTTGTTCATTGTCTGGACAAACCTTGTTGAATCTTGTTAGGAAACTTTTCTCATTGCTGCTTGGCAAATAGCATTATTTACTTTTGTTGAAACAGCTTCAAGGAAATAACACATTTGAACAAACTAGAGGGAAGGAGGTTAGGGGTATTGAATATGTTTTTCCTCAGTTTATTATGCAACATTTAAGACATCTGTAAAAGCATAAAGAGTAATACTATAAATGCCCATGGACTGACCATCCAACTTAAGAAGTAAAAAACAAAAGGTTATTTTCCTTTCTACTCAGAGATAACCCACATTCCTGGATTTGACGTTTATCATTCCTCTGCATTTCTTTAGGTAGAATAGAGGTCAGCAGTTTATTACATTTTCAATAAAGACACAATATGTAGGCTACTGATGATGGATCAGGCCTCCTCCCTCAATACAGTCCCTGCTCTAGCCTGTTGCTCATAGAATTGGTGCCTGTGCTTTGGGGAAGCATGTCAGACTTTGGCTGGAGAGGGGACACATTTTTAACTGTGGCTTTTGGAGAAACAGGTTTCACACGCAGTAAGAGTGAAAGTCATCTTTACAGAGGAAAGATGGTTCATTTGACACATTCCCCCCAAATCCTGCTGGACATTAACCATACATGGCACTACTCCATAGAGTAGGAGGTTGAAAACTCGCTACCCTCAGAGCCAGGCAGGAAGCACGAAGCTGATTGCATGTGCAAAATATGAGCCTCTCTTGACCTGCCTTTCCCTTCCCCACTTTTGACAATGTCCTGGGATGTAAAAAAAAAAAAAAAAAAATACAACTGCAACGAAAAAACAGCACCTTAAAACCAGCGTTAATGTCTCAGAGACAGTGCAGAATTTGTGGTGACCTGGGAAACCTACAGGGACAGTCTGTCTTCCCATGGGAATGCAGGCATGGTGTTGCTAGACCGTCTTGTTGCTCAATTGAAGCCATAAGTCCAGATTTTTTGGTGAAATCTCCTGATTTTTAAACAAAAGCAACTCATTTCAGGTTTTCCTTAAAAATAGGCAGGTCAAGCAAAATACGTCTATAGACTAACTTTGCCTGACAAACTACCAGTTTGTAGCTCCTGGTTTAGACGCTGATAAAATTGTGTGCTCTCTTGACTCAGTAGTTCTTCTGTAAGTGACAGGGAAGCATCCTAATCATGTGTCCCCGGTGCTTCTTTTTCCTCCTTCCAAGGCATCAAGACAGAAGACAGCTTGAACCATTCCCCCAGCCAGAGTGGATTCCTCAGCTACGGCTCCAGCTTCAGCACCCCACCCGCTGGACAGAGCCCGTACACCTACCAGATGCACGGTCAGTGTGGCGCTGCGGCCCCTTCCTGTCCACATCTAAGGCACTAAGTTAGGTGGTCAGTCATTCATTCATTTACTTGCCAGATTTCTTGAGCACCTACTATGTGCCAGAATCTATCTCGAGGAGTTAGAGCGGCAGACAGAACAGAATAGATATGAGATCTGCCCTCATAGCAAGTACATGGCAGGAGGGAGAGAGTGGCAATAAACAAGGCAACAAATAAACCAGCTGATTTTGGAAGAGGTTGAATGCCGTGAAACAAATAAACATGGTGTTTGGGTAGAAAATGATGGGCCATTGAAGGGTCAGGAATGGTGAGATATGTAATTGTGGAGGGAGTCATCAGGGAAGACTCTGAAGAGATGACATTGGACAGAGACCCGAAGGGTGATGCGGAGCCAGCCCTGTGCAGACCTGGAGGAAGAGCATTCCAGGCAGAGGGAATGGCCTGTGCAAAAGCTGTATGCGGGGAAAGGTCTTGGTATGTTTGCGGCACAGAACGGAGACCAGTGAGGCTGGAGCAGGGTCAGGTGATGTGGGACGAGAGAGTCTTAGAGAACAGAGCCAAATCATGCAGGGTCCTGAGGGCTGTGGGAGGAGCTGGTTTTGATTTAAGTGTGATAGAAAAGGCAAGACCCTCGTAGACTCAGAGAAATGCCAGATGGTGGGAGTTTGGGGCAGGCAGGTAAAGAAACTGTAATTCCATGCAGGAGATTCAGCGCTCCCTGTCACCCTAGGGTCACCTTAGGGAAGAAAACTCCAGTGTGTAGTTATTCCCATCCCACGGCCCCTAAGCAACTGGCTTACTGGATTCTTCTGTCCTCACCTCCGCTCTTTGACCAACTAGGACCCCTTCCCTTCTTACAGCCCCTTGGGAGCTGGGATGTTGGGGCTGATGCGTGGAGTAGAGGGTTGGTGGCAGTAATTTGGGGGATCCTCCTCCTGGTATTTTTTTCCTTTGATGAAAACTGGTGAAAATGACCATCAAGGATCTGAAAACTAATATGTAAGAATGAAGGAGTTATGACAAAGCTGTGGGCTAATGAGTGATTGTACTTCTCTTTTAAAAAAAAATCTATTTGCAAGTCTTGTCACTGTATCTTTTTAAATTTCTTATTGAGGAATTAAGGAAACGATAAAGATGGATACCAAGGGCAGCTTTTCGGGGAAGAACATTGCGAAGGGACAGCAGACGATCTCGGAGTATGTGTAGAGAAAGGGACTGATGCGCATTGATGCCCGGCCTGTGCAATAGCTTCCCCGTAAAGGCCTGCATCAGAGTTTGCTGGTGACACTGTCAGCTAACATTGACCACACACTTACCCTGTGCCACATGGTGTTGTGGGGATCATCTTATACAATCTTCATGGCCAAGTGTTGGTGCTGGTTTAGATTTTACTGCACATGCAACGAGCCTCTTAGTGGTCTGGCAGAATCCTGTCCCCCAGCCTCACCCAAAGTCCATGCACGCTCTCTCGCTCTCTTCTCCACTTCTGCTGTCACCTCTGGCTCCCCACAGCAGCCTTTCTGAGTCCCACTGAAGGGTACGAGCTGCTGGGACCCATCTTCAAGTGGGAAGTGAATTTTGGCACCAATCCTGATAATAAAGACTTGTGCAGACATGAACTTGAACTTGCGTTTGGATCACTCTCAGGCCAGTGTTTACTAGCTCTGCAAATAGAGATAGGACTTACTGCCTCAGGACTTCCAAGGCTGTGGAGGTTGAAGGGCAAACACGTCCCCCCTCCCCCATTCTGACACCCACCTCCCGCTCTGCAGGATAAGAAGTGCGTTCAGTCATGTGGGGTGGCTCTCCATCCATCATTCTTTCACTGTGTATTATTGAGTACAAGTTCTATGCCTGGCACCCTTTTAGGCCCCGGGGGGCACAGCCGTCAACAATGACAATCCCTCATAGAGACAGACCATAATCAATTAACAAATAAGCAAACTATTACTAATTTTGATAGAGCTTGTGAAGGACAAAGACAGGGCAGTGCAATGGGCAGTGACGAGGGAAGTGGTGGTTGGTATCACCCAGGTGATTAGGGAGACCTGAGTGATGAAAAGGAGCCAGCTACTTGAGCACCTGGAGGCTCTCCCAAAGGAGAATCATGAATCTGGGGGCAGTGAGTAGGGAGGATGAGATTGGAAAGCAAAGCGGGAAGCACCCGTCCCAACCCTGGACCAGGACGTATAGAATATGTTATTTCTTCTCTGGTCCTTACAGGAGCCCCATGCAGAGGGTACCATCACCTCTGCTTTACACATGATGAAAGCGAGGCTCAGAGAGGGGAAGTGACCTACCCAAGATCACACAGCCAATAAGTGTTCAGAGCTGGGATTCAGACTTGGGTTTCTAGAATTCCAGAGCCTATGCTGTTTCCTCCAAGTGCTATTTCCAGGACTCCTTCGGGACTCTGTATAGCATCCTAAGCTGCGTATACACCATACACTATTCCCCTTAATCCTCCCAATAGCCCTATGACATAGGTTCTATCATTATCCCCATCTGTAAGATGGGGAAGCTGAGGCACAAATTGGTAAAGTAACATGCCTAAGGTCACGTGGTGGTGGCAGTGGGATTTCAAGCCAGACGGTTTTACTCCAGAGGCCAGGCACGCAACCTCCACACCATCCTGCCCTCCCTCCTTTCACAGAACCTTCTAGAAGACGATTCTTCATGGATCAGCCCTGGCCTACACCCTACCCCCCCACCTCAATCCCTACCAGCCCTTCACAAATTGAAAAACATCACCTGCTCTGTTCCCACCCGACCATGGGAATAATCCAGGTTATTTTCTTATCGTCCTTGTGGCCCAGATGCCAGAAGGGCTGTGGCAGCAGCTGGACTCTGTCCCAATTAACTGCCTTCAGTCTAATGCTAATGGCCATAAGCTGCTCATGAGACAGCCCAGGCATTTTGCAAGCCTGACATATTCCTCCTTAAGTATTTTTTTCAAACACAAACACACAGAACGCTCACACACCATGCCCATGTGCTTCCTATTAACTTTTTTTTCAAGTTGTTCCAGAGGAGAAATAAACTCTCAAACTACTCCGTGTGTGTTTCAGAATGGAAGATGTCAGCTGAGCTTAGTTTTTCAGACAAGGAAGGGAATGAAGAGGGGACCCGAAAACATGAATAGAGTGAAATTGGTCCGTATTTAGAAGCTGGGATAAGTCTTTCTCCTCTCTAGGAATTAAAATCATAATTTTGTAGATGCCAAAAAGCACCCAAGCAGGGACCACCCCATCATTTTACAGATGAGTAAACTGAGGCACTGCCATGGAGTGGTTTGTGTAAGGTCACAGAGCAAAAACATTAGATAAGCTGGGATGCCTCCCCCAGGTCTTTTTTTTTTTTTTTAAGATTTTATTTATTTATGTGATAGAGACACAGCGAGAGAGGGAACACAAGCAGGGGGAGTGAGAGAGGGAGAAGCAGGCTTCCCACCGAGCAGGGAGCCCAACATGGGGCTCGATCCCAGGACCCTGGGATTATGACCTGAGCCGAAGGCAGATGGTTAACGACTGAGCCACCCAGGCGCCCCTCCCCCTAGGTCTTCTGCCTACTCTCATAAACTTCCAGAAACTTCCACGGGGTCATCACCCCTCAAGGCCCTGGTTTGAGATCTGTATCTGTTTGGATAACACTGCTCCTCCACCAAACGTACAATAAACGTAAAAGAGAAAAGTTCACAGCACTCGTTCAGCCTTTGCTTGGTTGTTTATTTTCTTTTTTTAAGTTCACCCAAGGGTTTTTGTAACTGAAATATATTTCTTACGGGTTTGATTTTTTTTGTTGTTTCTTTTCGCTTCTCCTGCTGAAACCCTGCTATTCACAGAAATGGCCCCAAACAATTAAAAAGAAAGGAAGAAAATGTCTTGAGAGTGTATTGTAAGAACTTGCTGGAGCCATGCAGGGGTTGAGAGCCCAGACCTGGGCTGCAGTCAGGCCTTGCTGTGTCCCGCACGCTCGATGAACTTGGGCGAGGCACTTGACTTCCCCGTGTCTGTTCCCTCACCTGTGAGCTGGCATCCTAGCAAAAGAGATGACCTCATGGGACTCTTGGGAGGTCTAATTGGAATGATTCCTGACCACATCAGAGGAGGTCCGTAAAGGCTGGGTGCTCTTTTTATTATTCCTGTTATTTATTTTTTTTATATAACATAGGCATTAAAAGCAGTAACCCTGAAGTCAAGCGAAGTGAACTTCCCAGTTCTGCAGTGGACCAGCTTGTGACACTGAGCCCGTTCCTTCTCAGTATCTCAGGTTCTTCCCCTATAAAATAGGATACTGATAGTACTTACACATGGAGTGCGACAATAATTAAATGAATTAATGTATGTATGTGACGTATTTAGAGCAGCACCTGGCATAAACTAAGTGCTCTACAAATGTTAGTTGTTATTACAATTGACCTTTGAACAATAGGTTTGGACTGCAGCGGCCACTTACATACAAACCTTCTTCCATAAATACAGGACAATCCTATAAATCTATTTTCTGTTCCTCATGATTTTCTTAATAACTTTTCTGTTTTTAGCTTACTTTATTGTAAGAATACAGTATGTAATACATATAACATGCGAAATGTGTGTTGACTGTTTATGTTATTGGTAGACTATGAGTAGTTGTTCTCTTTTTATCATTTTATTTTTTTTCCATCATGATAAGCATACTCTGTAGTAGTTAAGTTCTTGGGGAGTCAAAAGTTAAATGGGGAATTTTAACTGCACGGGTTGTTGGCACCCCTAGCCCCCATGTATTCAAGAGACAATTGCCCTGCTATCCTAATTTCAGGTCTGATGGTCTGTGTTCTTCCCAAGTTCACCTGTATTTCCTGAACTCTCAGTTTTACTAAGTAGTCCTGGTAAGAGGAAAGAGGAATGTGAATTTGAGAGACTGTTGAGTCTTCCACAACAGCATAAACTCCCCTTCTGGTGAAATCTGCATTACAGGGGGACTTCAGAATAGTGGAAGAGCTCTTCAGTGG